CAGTGTTGACAGAAATGATTCTTCCGATTATGGGGTTCTCCGGTATTGAGTCGATGCACTGAGTCATCAGGAGTAATTTGAGACCAACTGCGTTCATTTTAAGCGCCTATTTACTGAGATATTCACACTTTTCCAACATTAAGAATTTTCACTCACCTGTCGGTATGATTTGGCTAATAGTTTGCGCGAGTTGCCACGAGTGGCGCCACCGGTCGAAAAAATAGTGGTATTCCGCGATTAAATGCAATTTTAACAGTGTTCTGGTCGTTTATTGTTATTTTGAATAACAGGAGATTAATCTACGTTCTTTTAGCTTCAAACTGAATGCTTGATCAAGACGTAACTTGTCCATAGAACGTTGGAAAAGCTATTTAAAGTGAACTAACCGGGGTACGCATAACAAGATACAGTGTCAACCGTTGCGAATAAATGTGATTTTAACAATGTTCTGGTCGTTTATTGTTGTTCTCAATGACAGGGAATTAATCGACGTTCTTTAAGATACACGTCGAATGCTTTGTCAAGACGAATGCTGTCCATATAACGCCGTGAGACCTGTTTAAATATGAAGTAAACGTAAATGTAAATTTAAAAAAAATTTTTTGTCATTTCTGCTGTCATATCAACTGAAAGTCTCAGATCATGATAGTGGAGTGTACTGCCACCTGCAATCTGCAACCTGCAACTGCAATAGCTCGTTGTAGCGCGTGAAGAAATAAACATGACAGAAAATAATATAGGCACGTTAGAAGAAGAAGCTTTAAAACGAAAAGAACGATTACAAGCTCTAAAACGGAAAACCGAAGATAGTAAAGAAAATCAAAGCGAAATCGGTGGGAACTTGCCAAAGTGAGTTTCTACTTCTTCTTTTAAATATTACTGAAGGTAACTTGTACTAACCTCAAAGATGAAAGATTATTTGCTTTCATGTACTTTTCACAGACCAAAGTTTAGAAGTTACAAACCACAAGATGAAAGTCTTAAGGTAGAAGTTTTAGAAGATGCAAAGCCTGGAAACGTTGAAGCGGAAGTACAAGATCAATTGAGCGCAGCGACTAGCAAAGTTGTTATTGAAGAACTTGTAAGTAATTGGATATGTTTGTGAATTGTTCTTGTGACACGCAAACTTTAATCACGAGTTAATGTGTAGTTAAACCTTAATTCTTTAGGATATTAGTAATTTGGCTCCTAGAAAACCAGACTGGGACTTGAAACGAGATGTTGCTAAAAAATTAGAAAAATTAGAAAGGAGAACACAAAAGGCAATAGCAGAACTTATAAGAGATCGTCTTAAACAGGGCCAGCATGACTTGGCTGCTGTTGTAAATATAGCAACTAACAAATAAACAGATTCACCTACCTGATCTTATTAATAATTCTTATATCATAATATTTAAATATTTTTGTACGTATAAAGTGTTAATAAAATGTATTTCTAAATATTATTCTATTGTATTTTATACATGTATACATATATATTTGTGAAGGACACTTATTAGCTATGTAACTAAACATTATACGTCGTTATGGCAGCAATAGGAACAGTTAGATGGACAAATGCCAATGCTAGAGGTCATATTTCATAGAGCAACATTGTTTTTTTCAACTATAAACAAAGACATAAACCGATTCTTTTAGTTGTGTTTGTATAGAGATTTTGGCACTGTAAAAATGCAAGGATTGTATGTTGACAACCTTATGTATACATGTAGTACCTCCTTATGAATCAGTCAATATATGAATGATCTTTTTACTGTAGTCTAAATTAGATCAAAGTGTACATATATACAATCTCTAAATACTCTTACAATTAAATCATAATGGTATATAAATTACAATAAAAAATAAAAAAGTACTTTTGATTTTATCGTATGTAACCTACTATTGCATAGCCTTGAGATTATTTAATAAAATGTCCATATAGACATTTTGCTTAAATACGAATGCCACTGAGAATATAAATAATTACTCTTTCATACTGAAATGTATTATATAAATACTCATTTAAAACTTGTTTTCTCCTCACTATAAACTGTGCGCATAGCGAAGATACCTGACTAGAACTTCCAGCTTGTTATTGGTATGACAGAAGAAAAATGATTCCAAATATTAGTGAAAATGCTGTAACAGAAATTATACAAATTATAAGTTTGATAAATAGACTTTAACCATTTCAGCATAAATGAAGAAATTTTCTTTGATGTTTCGGATCGATCGGTAAAGAAATCAATGATAACATACACACACACAAATATTACACTACTATGCTGATAATGAAATCGAACAAATATAACAAAAAAGATACAAACGTGACATATTCCATATTCTTTCTTGACCAGAGTGTTGATCTTGATCTTCATTCTTTGGAAACATTGTGCTTGCTCCAAGCATGTTTGTATCTACTGTTCCATTAGGAACTCTTGTCGTATTAGATGGACCAGATGTTGCTGAAGTGGATGATGTACTCGTTGGTTTAGAAGTCGATGGACTCGTTGGCTTAAAAGTTGGTGGACTCGTTGGCTTAGAAGTAGATAGACTTGATTGAATAGTTGATGCCACGTTGGTTTGGGTGGTCATTGTTGCATTCGTCGTACCGGAAGTCGTTGATACAGTTGCCGGTTTGGAAATCTTCGTACCTCCAATATTATTATTACGATAAATTATTCTGTCGTCCAATGGCTGCACCGGACGGTAATTATGCGTCAAATTTCTGCCATCAGGAGATTTAATACTACGGAAAAGGGCCAGCTGAAAATATATTTCGTAAATCTAGATCATATCGTAATTATTAATCGAATTGCAACAAAAAAATATGTCTTGCAATCATACATCACGACATAAAGGAATTTAATTTTCTAAAGAGAAACTGTCTGTGCAGAATATTTCTATATCGTTCAGTCTATCTTTCAATTCGCCGTTCTTTGCCATATCTAATATGTGATATTCTTATCTCTAAGAAACTTAAAAATCCAATTGGTATGTTATTTTTATTACACAAGCAAATATATTAAACTTAAATCGAGTTTTTCTTGAATATAGTACGTCTAAGAATTCTTGAAGAATACCCAAGTAATAACTGAGAACATTCTTATTGATAATTTTCTTTACGAAATTGAAATCTCCAAATTTGAGCGAGCGTAATAGCAAACTCTAAAACGTACAGAGGCATATTTACATCTGAATTGGTCTTTATAATTGGAAAACGTTAAAATTTCATCAAATACTTTAGAAACACTTTGCACACATTAATTTTAACACCTTTCTTAAATACCTGTTCGTGAGATATCATCTGCGACTGGATAAAATCGATCCATTGTACAATTTCGAGGCAAGGGGGTGTAGTCAACGATCCTTTGTATGTGTAATAATCTTCCGCTGTCACGATATCGGGAGCGATCAATTTGTTTAAGATGTTAACGTCATTTATCGTCGTCGTTTTTCCAACCGTTGCTATTCCTGGCAACTGCAGCACAATCGACTCGAAAATCGGATTGGGCTCGTCCGTTGCCTGTAACACGTATATGTAGATACATACATATCTCTCCAAGCATTTCGTAAGAATGAGAATCCGAGGGTGATCTAAACGGATCCATCTATTTTTTTTTATTACTAAACAAATGTCCGGCACGATTGAATACATTTGTTGGAACGTAATCAATTCTATTTTTGAGAAACAGAATTATAAATACACGGATCCTTCGAATTTTTTGATCATTATTCTTCTTTTTGCAATTGCCGTACAGTCTGATAGGAATTTGTATTCAGACTTTTCAATGTATTTTTACATTTTTTACATAATTGGTTCTGGTAAACGAACTAAGTAAAACTCGGTACTTTTTTTCGATACAAGTCATGCGTAAAAGTATGGATACCTAGACAGTATTAGTTTATTCCATTCACGGCGGTTATTGTATTAATTACATACAAACGCAAGAGTGAGAATTTTTTTAGTATTAATTATAAGTTCAGGGTATTATTAATCGATTCGACTGTTCACGTAACAATCCAGAAAGCCACTTAATTGTTACCTGATACCAATATCCAAGTACAGTCAAGCCGTCGGAATGTTTCAGAGCTTCCTCGGACGATCCGTAGGTTTTTTTCCAGAAAACCGCGTGCAGTTCCATGGAATACGAATGATTGTTAATGAGATCCTCCGATCCCACGTCGTCATTTTGTCCCCAGTGGAAATGTAGTTGTTGGAACACGTATGTGTCGTTCAATGGACCACCGGATATCGTGGGGATGTCCGAATCCTTGCTTGCGATCATCACTGAACAGAGAATGTAGGTATCGCAAAAACTAATCGTATAGACGTGTCGTGTTTGTATGGTAAACATCCGCGCTTTCCCAGATTTTCCCGACAAAAAAGGGAATTCCTCGAAGGTTTATCTTAATTACGAGGCAACGTCTATGACGTGCAGTAATCGACACTAATTTGCAGCCGTTCAAGGATAAGAGTTACGTGCGACACACGTTCGAAACAATTAAAGCAATTATTACTAATATAGACAAATCGCGGTTAAAAATTCAGTTTTCCGAAAACGAGGATAATATTTTCAAATTTCGCGTTTCTTTGAGATATTTTTGGAACAAACACTCACGATACCTCGGAATGTTTATTGTTTCTGGTAAGTTTGTTGAAGAAAAAGTTTGAAAATAATGTAAAAATTTTTTATTTATATTTCAAGAAAAAGGTATGAATATTCTATGTATCGTTTGACATCGTCTCTTTATTTATTATTATGAAACATTTCGGAAACGTCAATTATAAAATTGTTTGATTATTAAATTATTAAATACTATATCACATCCGTAAGTTTGTCGTCTACTATACCGATGAACGAGTAGTAACTATTTTATAATAATTAATTTTGTAATAATATTAAAGTGTCTGATAAAAAAAATCACACAAATTGCGGATATCTGCATTTTAACACTAGAATTACCGACGATAAACGCATATTTCCTTCGATCGGTGAATAAACGTGAAGAACTTTTGAAAACTTAGAAATTTATAAATTCACTAATTTCTTCACTTTCATATCGTAATGAAAGGTGTAAAAGATCTGAGAAAATGTATTGTCATAACATTTTAATCGGCGTTGTAAGAGGGTATTGACAAGTCATTTTGACTTGCTTGGTAGTTCTAGTGTTAAGGAACTCCCCGGCGGTCACATTGTTGCACATTGCTGCACATACTTGTCAATATTTCGACCTTGCTACTTTATACCTGTATGGCCATTATTTGTCATGTAAGCTGTATGGGGTCTCTGGATATTAGAAAACTCGAGGGCTGGAAAACTAGCGGTCCTAACATCCTTGTCTTCAATGTCAATGGGAGACTGGTATTTCCCCAGGCAAGTTTTGTACTTGTCGCCCCAGTGATTCGGGCCTGTAATGAAAAATTTCGATAATTTCCTTAGACTTGCACTGAAAGACCTTTTATTATTTGTGCAAACGATTAAAATTCCAAAAAGTTACGATTTATAATAGGAAACCAATTCAATTTTAAGTGCATCCTGATGTGATAAATAAAATATAATATATTTATTGTTTGTATATATAATATATTCTTCTAAAAGAATTTCCATTATTGTATGGCAGAATGGGTATTTAATTTATTTCGTTCTAATACGTTCTTTAAAGGATCATTTAAACAGATTAGAGATAAGATATCTTAGAAGAATAATGTAAAATTCTTGGTAGCGGTTACTGACACGTTTTAATTGTCGATAGAGATAGTAGGATTATGTGTAAACACGTACATAAAAGGAGTAAATCCCCTACAGTGAAATAACAAACGAGTTCTTGCCGCTTAATGATAATTTGACTTGAAGTCGTTCGTATTTATCCAAAGATACATAATTAAGGTCTACTGTCCACTAAGGCCTCTCGTCATAGACGCTTCATAGACATTTGACACTTGCATGTAGCGACCAATGTAAAACAATGGACGTGTGTCCACATATGCTTCAGCGTCGCGTTTTCGTCGCTGCATGCGTTCGGCATGAAGCGCGTCGTCAACGATGCCCATTTGTGTTTGAGTGTGAAATATGTCAGCCGTAAAATTCGTACAGATTGTTGAAAAATTACCCATGAAATATAAAAAAAAATACAAAAAAATACCCATGTTTGTATATGCCTAACACAACATCGCATTTTAGTGTCATATTTTTTTATTCGCGGAGCTACCAAACGCATTAAATTCTTGCACGTATTTTTATTCATCTTACGGAAAGAATGAAATACATGATCATTTATATTCTGTTCTATGCAAGGATGTAACCAATATCTTTTCCGACTTTTACGCCGTCAAATATAATTATAACATAAGGCGATAAGGTCCTCTTCGTCGCCCGACATCTTTGCGAATGAGGAAAATGAAGCTTTCTGTACGCTTCCTATGTATATTCCTATACGCTTCGAATACGCAAAAGTGAACAGAAAAACTCAAGCGTAGCGTAATCGTCATGTTGTATCCTACGCTGACGTGTCTATGACGAGACGCCTTAGTAGTGGACAGTTGACCTAACTCACCGTGGTTTCCGTCGTAACCGAAGTCGTCGGCAAACGCGAAATCTGAAAGAAAAATAGACAAATTTACGACGCTAGACAATGTACACATGTTACTGGAAACTTTATAAATGTTCTGTACACATATATAAATACATTCTGCAAATGCATTTTCCATAAATATTCGGCAAACATTCCACCCGTTAAATCGAACGCAGCTTCTCAATTAGCTGTGCACGCATGTGTAATTCGCGAGAACTCATTAGATTCATGAGAATCTGATTATGCTAGTTCCTGTAATTGAATTCCCAGATATTTGTGGAGGAATTGGAGAGACCCAAGAATGATTTCTCAGGAATTACTGATAAATCTAACTAATCGCCAAGAATACAATTAAATAAAACAGAGAACGGATGTTTGACGCTACTAATGAACTTACTGTATTACTATGTATCTACTCCTAAACTTGGTACATAGCCCTTGATCTATAAACAGAATAACATTTTCAATATGATTTTACGATGAATTACATTACTATTTTTGTTTTTAAAAATCAGTAGAAAAAACAAGAAATTCTAAAAGAATGATTTGCTAGGTAACATGTATATTATAATTTATAATCATTAATTTATTCATTATTCTTCATTGTCGTTAAAGGGAAGATTACTTTGAAAAATAGAAATATATTAAAAACGGCACAAATTATCTTTCCAATCTGATCTGAGAACTTTTCAAATGACCTACGGTACGATGCTTTATACGGTAATTCCTGCAATGATTGAGAGAGCTTCGTTATAACTCCAGTGAAAGTCGATTCACGAGATATAAACGCGCCGTGACATTGTATTCAACTCGTCACAGATGAATTATTCTAGGCTGCTTATTAAAAAATGTTGTCGTGGACGTTTACCATCTACAAGGTATTATCGATTTGTTGCCGTAAGTTCGATTACGGTTAAGTTACTTCCGTTATTTGCGGCGGCTTTAGATGATATATGTATGTATACAGGGTGGGTCAATAACTATGTCCACTTTGAATATTGCCGTTATTTGTAATAATATGAAAAAATGTTATATACATAACTTACACGGTACAGAGAACACATGGATACGCACCTTTACAGGTTGCAACAACGAGTGAGAGATTCTATTCAGTCTTTCTTTTTTTCGATAGTTGTCTCACTGTTATGACTACGGTAATTTATGGCGTATGGATGTCACCTGTGCTCTCGTTCTTTCTCAATCCGCTGAAATAAGCATGCGGCTGACTTCGAAATATTTTAAGAGAAAAATCTGCGTACAATTGAAGCCTCGTTGTTCTAGCCCACGTTATTTGAGGGCCGATTGTAAACTCGACTCGAAAAACTGGTACCTATCGCCGAGAGAATCTGACAACGCCAAGACCGTCGCTCATGTCCACACGCGAAATATTTATTGCCCCGAATGCCAGTAAACTGAACCATGTCGTCCAAGGATGACGATCGGAACAAGGACAACAGTGTGCGTTTTGCACACTGACGAATGTCTTTCGGACTCGGGGATGCAACTCGAAAGGGACGTTTTCCATGCGCTGCACACTGTGCATATTGCTGTGCGGCAGTTCTAGGACATTGCCGAATGAAAGATTTAGCGTTTGACCCTCATCCGTCACTTGTGTTAATTTGACACACACATTTTTCGTCTAAGAAATGATTTTATTCTGTCATGTGTCGGTAAATTTAGCTGAAGCTCCGTGACTTTTATTTTAAAGAACTTGCAAAAACTCTATCAACATGTTCAGTCACTCTCATTTCTATAACTATATACATATTATTATGCTATCATGTTATGATACTAAGAAAGAGGATATTTTTTACTGCATAAAAATTCTCTACGAGAACTTGTTTAATTACATTAAAACGGAAAAACTGATCCCAATATACAATGTATTATGTTTAATTGAACGAAGGACAAAGATCACTTCCCAAATGCGCTCGTTCCTCTAATGCTGCATTAGCTGCACACATAATCTCGTCTAAAGTTTCACTTATCATTTAAGACGGAAGGAGTCGAATTGCATTTTTACACGTCTCGTGTACAGGGTGTCTAGAATGAAAACGAAACACTGCCATAGGTCATGGTTGTACAGTTTCCGCGATTCGTACAAGTTTCGCAATCGAATGAATTGTTCATACCACTTTGGAAGCGTGCTATTTTTTTTTTATTAACGCAGACAGCTGAAGTTCGACGTTATCTCGTTCTTATTGATTCCGCGGAAGGTCATCATGCATCAAGGTTGTTCGTTTGTTGTGACATTAGAAACTTTCGTCTATCATATGTATAACCTCGTAGTTAAAGTTTTCGCTTGTTCCAATGTTTTTCCCATCTTGGAGTAGGCTTTAGTGTATTGGCTTTATCAACGTTAATATAACATCAAACTACATACATGCATGTACGTTGCTAATTGGTACTCCGCTTACGTACCTAGTTGCTATTCATTTAACAAAGTTGTAACTTTGAAATAACTCGAGGAACTTCAACAATCGTTTGTATTTTATTAAGAATTACAGAATACATTCGTATTCTTTTAAGGTCATCTTATTTCTAGCTTGCACTTTCAGTATGACAGTAATAAATGTTCAAACGTAATTACTATATGAATGCTTTGAACTGCCCACACCCTTCCTGGATAACCGTGTTGTGCATCGACTCTGTACTATGTACCAATTAGGACGTAGTCATTTATTATGACGGTATCGAAGAGTTGAACTATCTTTAAAATAGGTACAATTTGCATGAGTTATTACATCAGTTAGTATTAATTCGTAATGGCCTATAAAATAATCTGTCGAAGTACATTTTCTGTCAAAATATCGTTTACATATAATTTAGATAGGTTCTTATATCCGGTTTTAATTCAAAATGATCACCAACACAATCTATTGAAATATAATTTCTGGCAAATCTGCGAGGAACTCATCGTTACGAGTTGCAACACAGATAAGAATTATTTTCACATTGCTATAAGGATCATAAAAGAATATTTTATTTTATAATGTACTGATGGAAATTTTCTTGGTAAAAATTTGGTAAAGAATTATAAATATTTCCTCTGACAATTCGTGTACAGAATCGATTGGTGAAGTATAAATAACCGTACTCGTATTGATTCACTATCCAATACATATACCTCATAGTAATACAATATTTCAACCAAAAATAACGTTTAAAGCATTACAAAAACATAAAATTTAAAGGTAGTGCAAAACTGTTCTTATTTCATTTTTAAAATAATAATTCCCTTAACAGAATAAATACGTTTTTCTTTAGCCTTTTTTATTGATAAATTAATTCGCGAAGACATGAATTTGCATATAGTACCGGAGTCTAGTTATCTTATTCGATAACTTCAGTTATGATTTTGTTACGTTATTCGATAACTTTTACCTGGATCAGAATGTTAATCTGCGTATCTGCGTCGCTTACGAAAGCAAACAACGCAGAGTGGTCTATTTTCCGAATCTAGCTGGACTAAAATAGAAAAATCGGCTTTCTCAGGCATTCATGCACTAATCTATTCCTAGCACAAACATAGCGAAGTACCCTCTACCACTAAAAATCTTCATTACAACATTACTTTTAAAATTAGATCATACATATACTGGTCGTTAATTTGTAATAACAGTTATTATACCTGCCAGTACAAACATTAAACTTCAAAAAATGCTTATACAACTTCTTTCGAAAGCTCCGTAATTTAGGAGGTATTTCGCGTTTTAGATCACTCGTCCCCCTATGTACACTTTTAGGATGTTTGTACTCGAAGTGTTAATGTCGCGGCCGATTGACACGACAAAATTACCAGTCGACGCCTGGCAGCGAACACGTATGAAGAGAAGAAAGGTACTTCTACATTTGCTCCTGTCTTTATGCATTACTTCATAAACAATCGTTTTGCAGAAAAATCCACAATGACAGAAAATGATAGAAAGAAAGATAAAAATATCATCTCTCTGCATAATGTTCAATTATTTTGGTCCAGGTAGATTCGTAAAATGGTCCCACTGTGCGCGGTGCCTTTTCGCGTATTGTCGCGAAAATCTCCCGTAATTCGAGCGAAATCTCCATGTATCAGCGTCTCCAACAGCAATTAATTTGATTATCGAGATGTGCCAACAAAATCCCCCGCCGCCTACAGCGCGGGCTCAGGTTTCGGCCCGATTTTTTTTCCGCAGAACGATTGCGCAACCCACGTGGCATGCAGCAAATTGTGCAAAATGTTTATGGACGTCGCATATCTTTCCGGAGCACGTAACTTCTGCGATAATGAAGCCGGAGATCTAACACAGCGATTCCTCACTCCCCGTTTATCCTGTGCACGTCCTTCTCATTGAAAATTACACGTAATGTCCCGGCGAAGGATGCGACTCTTTCCATCGCGTATTAATGGCTGTTGCAGTAATGGCCCCTTTGTCCCACTTCCCATTTTTAAGTCTGACCGACACGTGTTCGGTACACATCTCATAAATGACTTCCGTGTTCAATTTTTAAGTTTGTATCTGTACAAGACATTTCACTATTATTATCAATCTACGACACGGTCCACATAACGATTAATCTTAAAAATTGATAATACAGTTCAACGATTCTTATTACCATTGCTATTTAATTATTACTTTGTCATTTTCTCGTGTCCAGGATGGGGAAAGTATTTATGACTCAATCTAATAATCATCAGCAGACTTTGATTTTTAATTATATTCTTTACTAGAGAAACTGGTAAATTAATTTGATACCAGTAAAGTACATACATAACAGGATCAAGCGATCTGTATGGATATTTTCCTAGTTTGATTTTAGCTTATTTAGACCATGTTTAATTCAAAGAATTGAAATGCAACAATTTATTCAACAGTGCACAATGTATAATAGATATTAATTGATTTCGTGAACTGATTTTACCACACGATACATACTCCGATAACACTGTTCAACAAATTTTTACTTTTTTCCTACCTCATAACTGTTAATTAGTGTTTCTGGTCGATCTTTATGAGCTCAATACGAATAGAAGATTTCTTTAAATTGATTTTTGGAAAAATTGAACAAAAAAATTTACATTATAAAATTCATCTAATGCTCGGATAATCTAGATTCTCCTGCAAATTATTATTATTAAACCAATCTAAGAGGATTTCTGGTATCATAATAAGGACTCAGAGGGAGGGTTTAAGCGGTCAATTATTAAACCTAATTTATGTCCTACGAGAATTAACTAAGATTAATCCCTGGAAGGTTTTTTCGTATTATAATCGTCGAGGTAATTATATTCCTGTGGATAGCCCACATTTAGGGCTGAATCATCGGATTAACCAATTGTAATTTATGTCCTTGGTGACTAATGTGACGGTGTTATAATGCGGTTTGTAATTTATATCAGGGAACCCTTTTATCAAATGATTCAAAAACATCATTGTGTGTGTTACTTGATTCACATTGCTTCCAAATTTGTTCGAAGAACAAGTGGCAGTCCACTTATCTAGCGTAAAAGCCCAGATTCATGACACGATTGTTATCAGTCATCAGAATAGAGGAAGCGTCGAACGTTTTAGGAAATTAAACGTTTTACGACATTTACAAAGTGGATAGTTTGAAAATCACTTTACGTCGGGTTACTCCGACTCTACCTACGGTTATGGAATCTTTTTTTTATTAAGCTATGTACATATAAACCGTCAAATATCTAGTCACGCTAAACACTACGATAAATATTGAATAGCCGGCCCTGTTCTTGGTTCGATTTACTTCGCGATCAATTTCACGGACGGAGCGACAAACAGGCTCGCGTATAAACTGACAAAAACGACGGTTGATAGTTTCGATTTCTTAAATGGTAAATTGCGTTAATTAACCTTAAACTCGCTCAAGGCACATCGTATTATCTCATCTTATAAACGACAAGTAACGAAGAAAGCGAAATCCTCATGTATATTAGCTAGTTGAATCACGTCTCGTTACGTAAAAATTGTTCATCGGAATGGTAAAAACTTATTTATATCGGAGGGGAACATTTATTAATGTGCTGTGTGATTTAGACGATCGTACACACATGTGCAATAACTGTTATATAAAGTTCGCATCGCTTAATGACACTGTCGTTGGTAGTTGATTACGCCGATTAGACAGATGATACATCTGATTATATTTCTGCAATTATTGTAATTCAGATTTTCGAAAGAGAACTTGATGAAAGTGATAAGTACACTGCGGATTTTATGCATTTATAATGTACTCAAATATCTAAAACTGGGTGTAAAAAGTGTGATTAAAAAGGGTCACTAAGTTTTTCTTTTTTTCAAATAAATTTTTGTTTGACCCTAGTTTCTTTAAATTAGTCCTTGGATATTTAGTTTCGCACTAATATCCGCAATCTAGTGATAAGCTTATAGAGTCTACTTTTTTTCTATGTTATTCGCTCCGAGTATTTTCCTATTATAATTATTTCACGTTGTTAATTGCACAAAAATTAAATATTATTTCTGACAGAAAATTATCGTTTCGAAAAGTAATATTTCTGCTGCCACTACAGTTATCCTATCAACTAATTACATTTCAACTGATAAAAACAAGCGAGTTCTAACAAATACTAAACCGAGGTCTTAATTTTCCTAACAATTTAGAGTTTTTTAATCACTTTCTGTGATATTCACAATTATCAGAGAACAGAAAAATCATGGAATGTACGAAGTACATAATGTGTAAGAATTGTTTTAATTTATTTTTTTTTCACTGAAATAACAATACCGTGACTGTTATAACTCAATATCTCTATCAAACAATTGTATATTAATTTGAAAAAGCCGACGAGTTACGAATGTGACACTCAATTCTTCTGATATCCTATATTACGTTGTTTATGTTTTTTATATTATATTTATATTACACTAAACATTAATAATTACTGATTTTTAAAGACTAACATTTCGACAATTGTTACAATTCAATAAATTACTATCAAATAATTCAATCTAGTTGATCAAATATTGAAATTACCACTGAATGCTCCGAATAGTTTACACGATTTCTCTCGAATTGCTTTCTAATAGTTTGCTTCTTTGAAAGTAATACAAACATGACTCTCAGTATTCTATCATAAATACATGGAAATTCATGATATCTATGGTAATAACAAATGCATATTGTGCATTAGCAAAACCTCAACTTTCCCTTTTCACGAATTTTATATAACGGTTTTGCGTTTCGCTTCTGGCACGCGTTTCCGCCTATGCTGGAAATCTTCAACGATGCTCTAATTATCAATTTACATGACGCTTTTCTACATTGCAACAGGGTGACCGGGTCTGTGTTATGCATAGACGGCACAGCAGCGTGGCCCTCCATGAATTTTAAGCGGTTCCGTGATATTAATAATAAGCGTTATTAATTTGGGATGCGATAGTCCCGCTAACGGTTATCGAAATGTTACTGGATGTGTTACAATTCAATTATCATTCAATTTTATTTTTATCTTCACCTTCGTTACTCCGTTTTTATCTCGCTCCCAAGAATTAGATGTTAACAGCTCTGGACACTATGCGGGGTTCACATTTGCTTATCGTGAAATTTCTATGGATATCATTGGACTGCGGATTTTATGCGTTCAACGCGTACACGAGCGCCAAAAATCTCCAAAGCTGAATAGAGTTCAAATTTTAATCAAATGCCTCGAGGTTTTTCATTTCTGTTGAATCTTATAGAAACCTTAATAAAGCAAACAATTTTCTATTCGAGTGCAATTTGTGTAAGTCAGTCCACAAAAATCGATACTTGCTTAAACATTCACGGTCTAGTTATTAACCTTTTGATTGCGGAGCACTTCTCGCATGGAAACACCATTTATATATGACTCGATACGCGCATGTCAGTCGCTAAATACAAAAATTTTTATTCTACGTTGGATCAGGTTAAGTTTTATCAAAAGGGTTCATGATAAGTTGAACAGATTTAGTAACTGAGGATTTAACATATGCATAACAATATAAAAAAAACCGAAGTGAAAAATCTTATCGAAGTTTAAGAAAATATTCCCATTATTGTACGATCATTTGTGATATTAATAAAACTATCGTCGAAAAGAATGTTAATATTTTTAACATAAAAAATCGTCCCTGACTGACACATGAATCTATGTACAGTTCCTTCGTCCCAATCGCATTCTCAGTCTATTACTATTTCTGTTCGAAAACTTCGGCTTTCTGTTCATCTCACACAAAACATTCATTACGCAGGAGCTCGATCTGGATACTATAAATATTAACTTTACGGAAAACCATCAAACCCCAAAATAGCATCAAAACGTCTGAATCTAACCTTGTATGTTTTCAATACACACCTAAAATAAATAGGACAATTATTTTGAATTATCCACAAATACCACAATATCGTTTGAACTTGGGGGTAAAAAAAAAAAAAAAAAAAAGAAGAACAACTTACTGCACAACAAAAGCGATCCGAGAACGAAGATCAGAAGATTCATGATGGTGATATATTTGTCACTTTTGTCTCACAAGAACGGAAACTTGTCTTCGACACTGTTCGCCACTGACTCCTCGATATGCTACCTTTGAAATGCGAATACTCTGTTACGGTCGGTGGTCGAGTGAGCACTGTCGGCTTGTCGGCTATGTTAAATAAGAGACCACCACTTTTATTTCGCGGTAGCCTATCGACTCTGCACGAATTTCATAGCGGCGAGAAAGAGAGAAGACGAAGCAGAGGGGCTCCGGATGGGCCACAGGTGAATGCTGGCCCCCTTCTCCCCCCACCCCTGTGAGAAAGTCTTCGAAGGGTGCGTAATCTCGACGATGGTTCCCGATGACTAACGGTCACGGATGACTGAGGACGTCTAAAAACCGACAATTCCACAAATCGATACGGATCCAACGTCGCCGCGGACAGAACTTATTCGTATTCCCGGGGCGGTTCAATGACTTCATTGTTTATCGTGTTTCCGATTATAAACGGTCGAAAATAGTCGAAGGAAAAATCCTGTGTTCGTAACAAGGGCGCGGGAGGGAATACTTTGCATACAAGTGGTCTGGAAACGATTCAAATAATAATCACCTCGCTCGCAGTAACCTGCGTGAAATGGATCTTCCACTTGTTGTAGTATTGCTGTAGAAATTCCTCTGATCGTGTATTCATAAACGTGGAACACTTTGCATACGCGTTAATTGTGATACCGGATGATTCGAGCGATTATTACTCGGCGCAGGTTTTGGCGCGAAATGCACCATCGTTGAATTTTAATTATTCGTAGTGTCACCGGTGCATTACTTGTGATCGACAGCCTCGAGTGTGTCGCATTTTAAAGCCTGTTCGCGGTATAACGATAAATTTTCAACGGAACCGTTGCGAAAGATAACTACGATACATTTTCAAACGAGAAAATGAATCATATTTGTTTGAAATATTCCATGGATGAAGGTATTGTAAGAAATCGACGCATGTAATACATTTTAAATAGATTAGAGTCTTTACGCTGACACAGAGAAATATACATTTTTATGCTACATCGAATGCATTTAAGTGAATTATTCTTGGGTCAGTGTGCAAGTGGAATTGTATGCAGAAAGGCTTGTTCTCATGTGCGTTTTACTTGATACGAAGAAACGAATTGGTTCTATTTCAGACGTTTATGGCGCGTAAACAGTAGAGTGTTGAGGTACCTTCCCATACAACAACAAAAAAGACCAATGCGGTGTGCCGCTTCCGTTTCATAAGATACTCTTCCGTTCACGATTTTCTCTAACCATCAGATCGATGGAGCCTTGAAAATTCGTTCGGTTCTTTGTTCAGCTGTTGCCGAACATTACCTAATCGGTGCATTCGACATTATTGGATAAACACTTAATGGTATCCTGTATTTTGTGAATGGGATATCAACCGCCATTGTTGCATATTACTATTACGAATGAGGCGCTACGCGCTGCGAACGTTTAATTATGTATCGATCATTATTGAACATCGAATCAAGGGAATCGTTCTTGACAACAATGTGTAGAGAACATAGGATTCACACTTATGAGCAATAATTGTACCGTGTGGGAGTGTCCTGAGGCGTTTATCTTCGTTCGAGCGGTGTGAAATATAGGCGCAGAGTGCACCTGGTTCAACGAGAACTTGTAATGTTTCATGAAGGTCGCCTCCTTTGATCTGTTTCGGAATAAAGATTTCATGTAACCGCCAGTTACTAGTTAGACCTTATTTCACAAGTACGTATTACATAATGGCCGCAGAAATTGCTATGTTGTGAAAAAAAAAAAAGTGTAATCATTTTAGTAGTATATTTGGAAAGAAGGTTAAAGCAAAGGTGAATTCCTTCGCGAAAGGTCAACAAGATAATCATTTTTGAGCGACACAGACAGATCCGACGTGATTTATATTTTTAGGACGTTTTGATCAATTGTGATCTAGATGTTCACGTATTCATCAGGTTGCGAAGAGGGGCAGTTCTGTAAATAGAAGAATACAGAATTACAAAGGCTTTAGATGGCTTTTAATTTTGTAAAAATGACTAAGGGTCTGGTTCACTTTTAATAAAGTGTCTTCGTTCAATTCTTCAAGGAGGCTTTCTTTTGTTAATTATAATTATGATAATGTATGCTTAAAAAAGAAATTGTTCATTGAAAATGTAGGGAATTGAATGAAATGACATATTCTTATATATAGATTCGTTTGAAAAATTAACACTTATACTACATTAAACTGCATAATACAGTAATATACATAATATACATAAAGTACAATTTAGCATAATATCAACATAAATTCCGCTAAAAGCACTACTACTATTTCAGTAATCGTAAAATAAGAAATCTAATTGGGAAAATGTTTAAAATGTGATTGTAATTGTATGCATATAAGTTTTAAAGTGTACTTGTCATTGATTATATTTATAAATCTGCGATTGATAAGAAATTAACAAGAAAAACCATTAAAAAGAAACTAGTGTAAATGGTCAATTAAGTTCAGGTTTTATATTTATATCAATTATATTTTATTCTTATTAGTCATGTTGTTAATATCTTATTACTTCTAATAACTCGAGAAATAAAACAAGGTTATGATATCACCTTTTACGCGGGTTAGCAACATTGAAGATATTTTTATACCATTGAGACATTGAGTATATTTAGACAGATATAAAAATGTAACAGTTGTTAAGACAATACTACTTTGTGTTCTAAATTATTATTAGGTAACATATTAAAAATTAGTTTACTACTGTAAAATTAATGGTTTATAGAAATTAATTTATTTTGACCAAAATATTATACTAAATATAAATATATGTACACATTTTTATTAAAAAAATATGTATTGTCGTGATAAGTATAAATAAAAAAAAACCTTTTTTTAATTTAAATTGGATTAGCTATATAAGAAAAATTTATTTTAGATTACTTGTTCAAACCACAACTGTCACACATGTATACGGTACGATATATAGTATTGGGTTCTTCTAAAATTTATTTTTAAATTATTTACTCTACTAACTTTCTATACCCTAATCTGTTTGGACTAATGAAATAATTAATAAATAAAATGATTTTACATGTATCAACATTCAAATCTTACTTATGTATGACATTTTTTCGTTATTGATATCTTCTCCATAGTTTACTTAAATGAATTTATTAAAAAAAATTTCGAATATGTACGAAAAAACCTAAAATGTATTAGTAGTAACAATATATATTACCTGTTACTCCTAACTACATATATATTACTAATATTATTATTGTTACAATAAATTGTAAACATTTTACAAATATTTATGTATAAACTTTCATATTTCTGCAAACCGAATTACAAAACTTAATCTTGTTTATTCAGCACTCAACTATCGTTAAGTTTTTATTGATTCCTATTACTGATATGTTGCATTTATCAAATTATCATAAAATAATCGATAAAATTATTGTACCATTCTCTGATTCGAATTCTACACGCTTTCCCGATTGATTAGCGGAATCCACAGATGTCGCTAGTATCCGCTCGACGGATAAACATTTTTATAAGTTTCTCTCCTGTACGCGACGCTACTGTGGTAATGGACACAACATCTCCGGAGGACGGAGATGATCTCTGTCTGCACGAATTGTAGGATATCCATTAAAATGCTGTCAGATTAGCGTGCGTTGTGAACTGGCTTGCGCGAGTCGACCAATCGAGTACTGTTTGTGAGTCGGTGGGTACATTTTCACGGGATGTGACAAAACTGCTCGGCAAAGTGACGATACTACCAAAGGAGACACATATGTACATTTCGTCGCGGATAGTCGTCATCGTCGACGTCGGCGTTGTTTGTGCGCCGATCTCGATCCCCGCTGCGTTGGCGAGCAACGACTTGCCCCAGAAGCGAGCCGTACAAATTGAAAGAATTGAGGGAACGAGAAAAAAAAGAATATAGAGGAGTCATTCTCACGAGCCCGATCTCTCGTTTTCGTGCCAAAACAACCTCGGTCAGAATAGTGACATCGTTATCCTTTATTTTGGTATTTATAGAGCCGAAGCTGTTATAATCGACTGCAATTTTCTGAAGGGGAGAGAGAAACTGGTCTCGGGGATAGGTAATTGAAAGGAAGAACCATTTCGACAACGCTGCACGCGCGGGCTTTTTTCCGGGTACGATTTACGCGTGTGAGTGCGCCATAGTTACACGGGCATATCGCGCCGCGGGAGAACAGAGAGACAGAGCAATAGAAAAGGAGCCACGAACGAGAGCGATAGGGCTACCCGAGGTGAAACGAGAGGAGCCTTCGATAGTGAAACGGAGTGAGAACGAGAGCGTTAGCAAGGGTCGTGAGGAGAAGGAAGAGATCTCCGCCAAAATGTCGCTGAAAACACCAACGCGGATACATTGATTGCTTTTCGTCATTTAACAGGGGGTATGTGCTTTTTCTCGATATCCTTGCGCCTCTTCTCTTCTCTTTTGTCACATCGTTCCATCGACGAATAGATCGAGAAGTACAAAAAACATACGCAGCTTCTTCGGAGCTTATAGAGAGAGAAAAGTCATAGGTGCATCGATTGCGCACGGTCACCCGGTTTCCCTCTGTTTCCATCAAATATACCTATTGGTAAAGTAATACATTTGTAAACGGTAAATAGGAAATAAAAATATTTCCTTTCCACGTTCAAATCATTGTAAACGAAATGAAAGATCAGTTTCGTTTATATTGATATTCGGAAAAGAGCATTCGAAAATGAAGTTCCAATTGGATCCAGAATATAAATACAAGCAGTTCTTTTTTAAATAATTTGAAATATATGTTCCTAGATTTTGATAATGCTTGAAATTGGTGTATCTGACTGCTCTAAATAGTGTCTTGTTAAAATGTGGGTAAATCAAACTGTATTCTAAATGTAACATGGAATCTTGAGCAAGCAAATAGTTCTGTTCGAACAGTTAATGTAAAATATGCATCATATTGGTCTAGATTTTTAAAAGTAGTAAGTAGGATACCTTGATCAGTTCTGTTGTACTACTAGGTGTAAAATAGATTGTGGTCCATGGTTGAATGACTCTAAAATGAAAATACTTAATAGACTACCAATTTAGAGAATCTGTTTTTCGTTTGAGGTTCACATTGGGGTGTCTCAGGCTGGAATTCGTATCTCAGTTTCTTACACTTTGTGGCGGTAGGTTTCAAGTTTATTACAGAATGCATAACTGTTTCTAGTTTAGATATTTTTTAGGACTACAAGGATGTAAGGAGAATTATTCAATTAAATGTATCAACAATTTAAGCAGTGTATCTTTAACCATTATGATATTTCCTTTCTTCTTATATGCTATACCATTTTAGATTACCAAAAAGTTTTTTAAACATGTAAATTACTTCATTGAAATAAAGCTATTTTTCTTCCTGAGTTTTCATACTATATATAAAATACATATTTGAATTTACTTGAGTATTATTCACTACTTAAAGCAGTATGTGAGATACTACCCAGTTTTCATTCAATTCCATTTTACCTTCATTGTCAAGTTACTTCTAAGCATTTTAACTATTTGAAAATTATGAACAAACCATTTTGTTTGACACTCAGAAAATATAAAGACAAAATTTTGTTTCAATTTGTACATTATTCAAATAAAACTCGATTTTATTCCTTTCATTTTTTCGAATTAAATTGACAATACTGTGCTATTTAAGTTCATATTGGAGTCCCTTATTTAAACGATCTATGTTTTAAACATGTACTTCAACGTTTATTTGGCTTCAGTTACAACCGTTTTTCTATAACTTTGTTGTACGTGTTATGTGCAGAATACGACACGGCCATTTCGTTACTGTGGCGGGTAAATATATTTATGCCTATCTGTTCGTATTCGTTGTACATTGTTATTTCTTGGTTATATCGTGCATCATTGACGAAGACATGTACATATACCTCCCTATATTTCACGCGTTCGTTAACTCCGAAAGTAAGTAACCCCAACCTAGGGTATTTTTTTTGTAATGCATAATTTTGATTCTCCGCAATGAAGCTCCGAACTAAACATCGAGAATTCTAGCGCTCGGCTCGTATCATTATTTTTGTTCACTTTCTGTTTCTACTGCCGATTTATTATTTACTACTTTACTTTTTACTCTTCGAAAACCAATCGGAAAAGCCGGTTTGTACGTGAAACTCGTTGAAAATTACTGTAGGTTACAAGAACATGAAGCAGTCTTGTCGAATACTTTCTACAATTTTTGTTAAACAATACAGGCCGAAGAACATCGAGTTTTGAAAACGAAAATTAAAATAAGTTAAAAATTTTGCTGCACTTACTCTCAGTAGAATTAAAGTCCTCTTGTTAAAGTACCTCTTGCATCATTTTTATATTATCGTTACATTAAATTACTGTCTCTTAATATTTAAATAATTTTATATTAATAGCATTAAAATATGAATTGAAATATAAGTGCATAGAGAGTTTTAATTATTTATTGCACCATAAAACAGTAACACAAAAAGTATTTGTATGAATGTGTAAATACTTATTTTTGTAAATAATTTACAGTTTGAAATTTTTGTAAATAATTTAGAGTGTATAATTGAAGATCTGAATTGTGTCAAACATTTCTTAGGTGTAATCTGTAAATTAACATAATCAACATAATCTGTAAATTAATATCATTAATATATTGACATTATTATTAGTATTATTATATTTCTTGTTGCATTAAAGAGTATATACTTATTGATAGTATTGAGTCAAATAACTATATAGTGGATTATTGTTTACGATATTCCTTGATCCTGCTTTCTTTATTAACATCTTGGAAGCTTAAGAATTTACACTTTTCATATCTCTAATTAATTATGCATTCATGTATTCTGAGATGGGAATACTTTATAATTAATTGTTCAAATATGACAATTGTAAGATATGTTTTATTTTTATTTGTAACAAATCACTTTTTAGGTTTTTTGTGAAGTTGACTACCTAAAATATTGAAAATATGGTATCAACCCGTCAGTCAAGTAATATGGGAGGAAGTAATGGGGGTGGACCAGTTGCTGAAGTTGCAGATGCAAGTACATCAAGAAGACATCAATCTGTAACAATGACAAGCTCTTATAGTGGACCATCAGTTTCGGATCCACCCACCTTTAGTAACTTAAATCTTCTGGATTTACCAGTTGAAATTCTTGAAAAGATTTTCAGCTATTTGGATTATAATACTGTAGCTCATTTACGTCCAGTAAGTGAAAATTAAAATTACTAGTAGCATAAATTGACATAATTGATATTAATCACATATGTTCACTAATCTTTTACAGGTATGTCACCAGATGGATCGTGTTTGCGGATCAATATTAAATTCCACATTTCAAAAGCTTCAAGCACAAATGTTGAGTCGCTTTCAGGCAATTAAAGCACAGATGCCCAGACGTGAATCAGCCCGTCGTAATCATCCACTGGCTTGTGAATCAGATATAATTGAAACACTTCATATGCGACTTACTTTACTTCAAATGAGTTTTGGCAAACATATTGAACGTAAACATTGCTGTTTTTTTCCTGGGGAGGTAATTTAAAGTTTTTTTTTTTAAATAGATTGCGGAACTAATGTATAAATGATTTACCTTCCAATTATATTTCAGATTTTAGACGAAGTTTATCATATTTTACATTACATAAAAGTTACTCCAAAATTAGCCAGGCCATACAAAGTTACAGATGAGTTATTTGATTTAAGTACTATGGCTATGGAGTACTTCAAGGAACGCATTGAGCCCACGTTACCAGAAATTCCTTACTTTGGAGCGGATTTCCTAGATCTTGCTGGAACTTTTTCCTGTAAGCAAAAAATAAAAAATTTGATAAATTATTTGTCATAAATCATCGATCAATACTTTATAATATGATTACAGCTTCTAGTAATGTGAGCAAACCATTCATATGCCTGGACTCTGCACCTCTAACTGTTGGAAGCGGTAAAGCAGGAAGTAATAGCGGAGAAGAAGGTTCCCCACCGCATTCGTCGGACGATCCTGTTCTCTTAGAATCTAATGTATCACCTCCACAATCAAACATGGTGTTACGAAAACGGATTCGTAAGATCAAGCAAGGCATGAAGAGATATAATAGTCAGTTAACGTTAATGCGTAGGGATCTAAAGAGTTGCAAGTCAAAAATAGCAGAACAACAAAAACAGATTGTTGAATACGCTACACGTCTTGATGAAAATGACAAGAAGAACGAGGAGACTTCTCGCAAATTTAGCACACTCCTACAGGTATTTACTAAGGTACACTTAGTACTCATAAGTATAATGTGTGATAGAAGAGATGTATGATTAAATGCATACAAGTCTTGTGTTATTTAAATATCTTGTGAAATTCGGATTGCTTAGATTTAAAGGTAAAATAACTAAAAATCTTAATATTTCCCTGATCTTACAGTTTGTAATATTATGTATACGTGTTGTATAGGAATTGAACAAATGTAAAACAGAACTTCAGTATTGGCGATCCAAATCTCCAGCGATACCAGTATGTGTAGTCTGTGGTCAGTCTATGTTGACACCGTCTGAAGATATACAAGTTTTGAATAATCAAGGAATAGTACCAGAGGTAACAGATGAAGGATTAGACTTCATTCCCATAGCAGATGCGCAGAGTCCCACTGAAGTAGCTCCGCAGCCAATAGTTACACAGCCTTCAACGCCACCATCGACAGAGGAAATGGCACCCCCAAAGGCTCCCGTGCCTTCGTTATCTACAAAACGAAAATCCACAACAGAGGAAACACCTAGCGACGCCGGGAAGAAACCACGTCGTACTGCCAAGTCTCGTCAAGTCAAACGTTCGAAGATGTAAATCGATTCTGATCATGGTACAAAAATATTTATCTAACATCCTTGCTGGGTTTTCGGAATAAGAGGTCTTTCGATTTACGCTAAACGTGTTCCATTACGTCAGCGAACAGATGATCTTAGAAAAGTACAAAATTTTTTCCTGAACGTCCTGCATTTCGCGCAACGAACCTCGTTTTTGAAAATTATAGCCACGTCGGTTGCCGAGCGATGGAGAATTGACGCGATTAATTTTCGTATTTCATTACGGACGGATTCGTTACGCACGGTGACATCTACAAATATTCTAAATGATAGTCGATCATTTGGCTCGCTCGTGAAGCAACACGGAGCGAATTTTTCTTTTTCGGGGGTCCTTTTGACTATTATTTTCGCAATGGTATACACAAGGATAACGGAAGCGTTGAATTTTATGTGATACTTTCAATTTATATCAACCTGTAGAACAGATCAAACATCATGAGGTGATGAACAGAAATTCACCTTCTGTATTCCTTGAATACAAATAATGCACTGATTTACATTTACTCCCCGAATGTTTCTGATGTATTTTTTTTTTTTGTTTTTGCTATAATGATATTTTTATTCGATACATCTTATTCTTAACTGTTCAATTAAATGCCGATTAGACAATACACAAACAAATGCATAAATGCAAATGCTTGGTAATCAAGAAAAACAAAGGTACTTCGTATTAAATACAATGCAACCCCAGTTTAATATCTGAAACTTATGAAGAAATTCCGAATGCATAATTCATTGTTTAGTACCGGTTTAATTAAACAACATTAACTGCCGTGTAATTATTATTGTTCTCTGAATAGATCGGGAATGATATTCTCTTGTCTTTGTAGAAATTTTTATATAAAATTTCAAGTGAACACGACATGATTCTAGCAAATTTTATTTTGCAGTATCAATAAATAAGTACCTGAGAGGACTGACTGGGACTGGTTCGCGCAGGTACTCCAACTTCATCAATATTCATATCAATTTCTTAATTTACCTAAATCTGCTCAATTTAAAGGAAGAAAAGAATCATTTCTTCTTATAATGGTTTGTGTATGCCACTTACGCTACCATGAATTCAATCACAAAATAGATAGTGAAAGTCAAAGACCTTAAGAAGTTCGTTGCTTCTGCATAATAATATGTGACACCAGTTTATTTTTCTGGAGATCGATAAATGAATTTGTAATTAAAAAATGAAGTAACAATTTCGTAGAGCAGCTCATTACGATGAAATCAAAAGCACTTTTAATGATATAAAATTTTGTGAGCCTTAAGAATACGATGTTGGGGAGAAAGTGGATTGTAGACGTGAGCGAAACATATGCTAAATACCTTGAAGGGTGTTATTTTGTTTTTAACACGCCATCCATTTGAACGAGTGAACACGTCGCAGGATGGCGTATATTGCAATATTAATAGCACTAGGAAATTATTTATAGGATCAATTTATTTATAGGAAACTGATTGTCAGATTATTTTAATGAAAATAAATGTCAACACATCAATTTCGTAATTTATCAATCACGTTGATTAAAAATTTACTGCTTCCACACCACGTATGTGAAGGAAAGAGACGTAGGAAACAATTGCATACTGTATTTAACGAAATGAATCGAAATTTCACGTTCACGTAACTTCTTTTAAAAAGTCGGACGGATTACCCTGCGCGATGCTCGATGATTGGTCTGTGTAGATTCAATTATTTTATTTGCACCAATCCTAATTAATCTCAAAGATGCGTAGTTCGAAATATTGTGAGTTATTATTCATGATTCTAGTAATAAATATAAAGGATACTGATAATAAGTAAATGATACTTTATTATAAATATATATATTTGAGTGCGGTACTTGCCAGAATATGCAGGCCACACAAAGCACTTTAGTTTAAACTTTAATGGAACAATAAGATATGATAATTAATGATGAAATAATTATCGAAATACATATATATATATATATAATTTTTTATCGATGTCGAAAATTAATTTGGAAAAAATAAAACTAGTGAGCAGACAAAAAACGTGTACGTCACAACATGCATGTCGTATGAGAGTAATTGAGCGAGAGTCTTAAGAGCGTGTGATATTTAATGAGAAAAAAACACTAAATTCAAATTTAATGAGAATTTACGATGTGATGCTTTATCGATTTAACTGCGGGAAAGTGACCTTTATTCAAATAAAATACATGTGGGACGTTTCTGGCTACAAAAAGATGTGTGAATTTTACTTAATGTTATGTTGAATAGGATTGCGGGGGCGGGCGTAATTGTATCGCCGTGTCGGAAATTTCGAAATGCTTTGCATTGTATGCTTATAGCGGCGCGTTCTGACAGATTAAAGATAAACGAAAGAAACAAACAAAAGTTAAGGTAAAAACGAAATATCCTGTAAATGGGACTCTTCTTACACGAGTGTATTTAGGCCCCTGGTGTAACAGTATCCTGTGTACAATCTTCGAAATAATTGTATTTGCGAACCAGTAACTCAATGTACCTCACGTACTCCTACTAAAATATTTATTCTTCCGACGATACACGTTGCCAGTTTATTGTCTTAAAATAGTTTACAGTCCTCGGCTTTCCGACATTATCCGTCCCCGAATGATACAAATGTAGCGTTGTGTACTACGTATATTAATCTACTAAGATTAATCGAATATAACAATGAATACACAATTAGAAGTAGAATAATTTCCTAATTAGTAGTGCCGTGCGTTAAAATTGCGAGCACAAAACGATTATTTTCAATTTCGATTCGTCACGAATTAATCCGAGGACCATGCTTGTTCGCAGTATGTACATATGTACTAGCAATGTAAATGGTCTCCAGATCAGGTACACGATAAGCAAATACAAAGAAAATACCATGCGCGTGTACTTTTTGGAATTGCCACACTCGTACAGTACAGGCATACGCATCGACACACATGGAACATAGGAACACAATTGTCAGCGTTACGGACTGAAACGTCGTACCGCCGAAGAACATGAGTTATCTTAAATGGTTTTACATGTATTAAAGCGATTGTAAATATATATTATAATATATATATTATATATACAATTTATATATACTATATATATTATATTATAATATATTAGATACACCTTATAATAAACGTAATTTAACATAAAACGTATCCCTGAGTGTCTTCTAAATGCGCCCTATGTTTGACAATAGAATACGGTGATACTTTTGTATTTCCTTTGATTGGAGACAATCTAAATAGACGACTATTCCGGTATATAATAAACAAAACCCTTTATATTCCCCTAATAATTTCTTCATTTCTGTTAAGTCTGAAATATACAAATGTTTTTTTCATTAGAATGGGTTCAATGTTTTGCAGTGCGGTCGCCTCTTGTAGATTACACGTAGAAAAAATAGCGATTAACTTATTATATATTAATAATACAATTTCATCTATTCTGCGTGAATGCAACGTGGATTAAATTCGCACATTTCAAATTTTACTATCTTGCAGTTGCTGGTTTTTCACGCAGAGAACAGAATAATCGTAGTGTGAAATCGATCTTATTAGTCAAACGAGACCTTGACTTTCACTTTCGTCTGCTACTCGAGCACGTGGCTTCGTTTGACAGCTTCTGCTTCTTTGATTCGATAGGTGGCGACCCTGTTTCATCCACTGTCGACTATTCTCAACAGTTACATTTCTGTCGAAGATGGCTGCATCCATATAGTGTATTAATTGTATTGTTACGAAATAGTTTCAGAATTGTTTATTTATCAGAATTATGGTATCGCAGCCCTGTTTCAACGGGTCTTTCGTAGCTAACTTGCCGTTTTCTTAACGCAACAGTTTGTTGATCGAATCTTTATGGATAACTGTGTTCCGTTACGTTGCACTCTATCTGCATCTTACTTGTTGCAACTCTGTTGTAACCTTTCCACGTGCGCATTTTAGTCCAATTTTGTTTTTTTCTTACGTTGATCCTTGACATACGAATCACCGACGTAATGGCAGATACGTTGCACAAAGATGGATACGAAATGTGTGAGTGGGAATGAATTTTATGATTTCGATTTCATGAGTTCAACTTTTCATTGTTATCAAGTGTTCCATGTTCATAGATTTTGTACCGATCTCTTACCAGTAGCTGATGCTTGATACTACAAAATAATGTTAATTTCACATTTCTTGTTAAATATTTGTATTATATAAAAGCTATTAGGGATAATAATGTAAATGGCATTGAATATTTATTGTTTTGTGTAAATAGCAAATATAGTAATGCGAGGGGGAGGTGCTAACATGGGAGTAGATAGTGATATGAAGCTAGAACCATCTAGTCCTACAGAAAAGTATACATTCTCCCGTTGCAGTAGTACTGGATCAGTGAATACACCGTCGTCATCTGCACATAATACAGGTAAATGATTTAGATAATTTGATTAAAATATGTAGTACATATCCAGTATTACATACGACTTATTTGAAAGAAAAAGTGATATCCACAAATCTTTTATGATATTATCCATTTATAGAGGATGAAGACAGTGATAATAAAAATTCCACTATAAGTTATAAGGAACGCAGAAGGGAAGCTCATACTCAAGCAGAACAAAAACGAAGAGATGCAATTAAGAAAGGATATGATTCACTACAAGATTTAGTTCCCACTTGTCAGAATACCGATTCATCGGGTTATAAATTGTCCAAAGCTACTGTACTTCAGAAGTCAATTGATTATATACAATTTTTACTGCAACAGAAGAAGAAGCAAGAGGAAGAACGTAATGCTTTAAGAAAGGAAGTTGTTGCGTTGCGTATTATGCAGGCTAATTATGAGCAAATGGTTAAAGTACAGCAAACACAGCTAGGACATGCTGAAATGCGTATATCCGATGAAACCAAATTTCAAGTGGTAAATTTAAAATTCTTTGTATAGTTGTTACATAAATGTGCGAGTATAGCTAATCCAATTTGGATACTGCTTATAATACAAACATTGTTTATAGTTCCAGGCAATTATGGATCGCTTGTTTCAAACATTCAACAACATTTCTGTAGCAAATTTTGCAGAATTATCTGGGTGTGTGTTCAGTTGGTTGGAACAACATTGTAAACCTCAGGTAGATAAGTTACTCTTTGATTTACGAGTCAACAAATAGCGCTTAATAAATATGTAACAAATGTTTCAGACTTTGGGCGAAGTGGTACGGTCAGTACTTCAGCAGCTTAACAGCCAAATCAGCTAGTCGAATATATTAATGAAGTTCATGATTGCACAATACAATGTCTATAAAAATCTTTTGCTGGTACTTAGGTCAATCATTGGTAGAGTTACCAGAAACGATGGGAACATGTGTGTTATATACAATACGGGTAGCATAATAATTGCACGAGAAATATAAATAGAAATTTATTTTATATATTAATATAGTTGTAGATACAGCCATAAAATGTGGCACAGAATTTCCTCAAGCCATTGTTGGGGACTGGACGATGTTAAATATTTTTATCAGAGATTTTTTATTACGTAAATTTTGCTGCATCAATATATGATACACAACGTATGTATATATGTGTATGAATGTATCAGAATATGTACATAATACAAATTAATTTGCAATATAGCAGCTTGAAATAAACATTTAGTCACCTCTGTTTACATTCCATCTCTTGAATAACCAATAGCGACAGATGTAACTGTTGAATATTATTAATAGTGTAGAAATGAAGGGCAAAATGAGGTTTAACCACCTGCACATCGGTGTTCTACCGTTTTTCCTAGTTTCTTAATTCTTTTTAACGGGTTTGAGGTCCCTGAACCCACAATAGTTTCATTTTTTATTAGCTTTGCCATCATTGTTGTCAACTCCTGTTCAAACGTTTATACGTTTGTAAAAATTTCATATTTAAGTTGTTTGTAGCTAAACTTTCTCGGATTCTGTAGGCATGCTTTCCCCTTGCGTAATATCGTTTAACAGTATTGCGTCCTGCCTGGGTCTGTTGGGGTCGTCGGGATCATTATTAGGACTATGGGCACGCCTCCTCTTCGTTCTGTCTTCCGGTCTGCAGCAAAGATCCCGAAAGATACAGGCATAACAGGCCAGCAGTGCACTCATCATCATCAAACCACCAATCGCGAGAACGACTACCAAAAAAAGAGATATTTCGTCACCCATTATAGTCCTTCGTAACCAATGTTCAAACCATCTGAAACAACAGTCAATACATTCTTATTTTCGGTTGGACCATTCAAGTAACAGAGGTGTGCCTTTTTGTTAATTTATATTTATATTATAATATTCCATTAAATAAAAGGTTACTAAAAGAAAACATTCTTCTTTTTATTTCTGCATTTATCAAAATAGCCCACTGTGACCTTCCTTTTATGACAGTCATGAAACGAAATAATGTTTCTTTTATAGTCCATTTTCTGGGATATCTGCTATTGCAAAACTATTTTCTATGAGATGATTCGGTTAATCATTACATGTGTAAATTCGTTTCAGGCGAAAGTATTTTTGATCAGAATAGATAAATAGGAATGTTTAGATACTTTTATAATTTATTTTATATACAGGGTGTCATGTAATTGGTGGTATACCGGGTAGAGGGTGATTCTACGTGAAAAAATAAGTCGAAAATATACAATAAACATTTTTTCATTCGAGGCTTAGTTTTCGAGAAAATCGGATTTAGAGATGCATCTACAACGCGTGCATTTGTGCTGGCAATCAGTAGAAACAGAATAGAATGAGCAGACGCACTAGCTAACAATGAGTCCGACACTCAACTGTTCTCGAATCCAGGAAATTTTCAAAGTCAATTTTCTCGAAAATGAAGTTTCAATTCTACGGATTCGTGTCGTTCTTTAATAGTGAAGAATTAAGATCAAGTTAAGATTTCTTGGCAACGAGAAACTGTTGGATACAAAATTTTAGTATCAATCCGCTATAATCCAATTTATTTGTCGGTGGTCACGTACGCGGGAAAAATCGTTGAACGAATTGCTCGAGAATATTCCGTATCGAGTGTATTTCATAGGATCGAATCTTGTACATATTTGTTGAATTTTTAATAAACAATAATTCTGCAAATACAAAGCAATTTTTTAATTTTCTTTTCTATTTAACAACTCAAAGGTATGTAACCCCTTGACGCGCCTACAAATCCGCTGTAAAAAGATAATTATTTTGTCCGATTCTTCAATTGGTGGTAATCCCGTAGTCTTACCGTCGCAAATGCTTTCGTCTTGTCGGGGCTTACACAGATTCCACGATCGAAACGCTGTTTCTCTCCACAAACATCGGCCATTCCCCGTACAATCCGGGAGAAATTCTCTCGAAACGCTCTCCCGCCCTTCATCCGGTACACGCTTGATCCTTTCGTGGCGACAAGTCACCGTGTAAAATTCGATCTGCGCTGGTTGGGTGGATCCGCGATGTCTTCGCGTGTCCCGCGACGCTCGACGTTGATGAAAAGCTGTTCCTCCTTCCCGAACGCGACAACAATTTCCATAGAAATTTCCCTCCGTGGACGAGGGCCGACACAATAAGGTAGATTCGCATACAAATTCGCGGGAGTCTTCATTTATGCACAAATGTTCGGACGTTTTTCGGTCCTCCCTGACATTTACTCACAGTCTTCTTCGATTCAATATTTCTTCTTTACTTGTTAAATTATATTTCGTAGGATTAGGTCGTTTTACGAGTCTTCGGTGTATTTCTATGTTACTGATGGTGATGATTTATATTCAGACACAGACGATTCCAGAAGTGACGTAAATAATAATAATGAAAACATTTTATCTTTCATCTCTTTTGAAGAGGAATAGTAAACCAACCTTTCCTCACTTTTCTGAAAAATTGTATCCTGAACCGTTCCCTATCAAGGAAGCGAAATTTCAAGATGTAATGACCCTTGCTGGACGCAATGTACCTTTTAGCGGCAAGTGGTCTTATGAAAACATACCAATCAATCGACAGAAGACGTTGATATAACTGAATGATACCAGCAACAATAGCAGTGGCCACAAATATTTTAAAATATTTCCATAACTGTAACTATCGTATTTTCATATACGTAATATTCAAAATATTAACTAAAAAAATTATTTTTTGCAAAAATATATTTTTCTTGCAAGTACGACTCTAAAAAACATTAAATTAATAAAATTTTATGCAAGAACCAGGTAGTTCTAAGGTTATTAAATTGCTATATATGTATAAGTACTAAACATTGAAAATTTTGCTACGAAGTAGAATGTATGTATTTAACAAGTAGTCCACAATTATTATATTGACAAGAAGAACTATTTTATGTCATTTTTTAATTTGTTAAACAGTTTTTTTAGTTTCTTTAAAATGAGTAAAAATGAAGCAGTCTGTTTCTTGCATCCAACTCTTCAATTATGTTGCATGAAGGTTACGAAATAACTAAAAAATTATATTACAGCCTATAAGAGTAACTCTTAATTAAAACTTATGCACAGAAACATGTAATTGCAGCGCATCTTAGAAAATAAATGGCAGAAGATTATAAGCTAAACAAGAAATCATCTACTAGGTTACGTACAGAAATATTCAAAGACTCTGAATATTGTTTGTACAATTATTATGTCCACGTGTTATTTTCGCATATACTTTGAACAAATTCGATTACAATATCGGTTTTGCATTTTCGCGTTCCAGACGCACCGAAAAAGCAGTCACTGCCACTTTCACCCTACTGAATAAACCCGTATACGTCATGCTGTAATATTTTATGTTACTCCATCTATACTTTACATGAAACTCCTTCGATTCATTTATACTTCATTCAATATTTTAATTTTCTCGAAAACATGCGTCAATTTTATTTTAAATTTATCAGTGTCTACTTCACTTTTTATATTCTTCCTAAATCGAAGCACTTTTAGTTACCCCGCTGTGCTTTCAGAAATTAAGTTCCACCAAACACGTGTAATGAAAGGAATCGGAAGACAATATATGTCTGCTCCAATTGGATATCAGCGAACGCGGTACACGAGCCACTGCGAGTACCTCTAGTGGAGTTGCACGTCACGAAAACAAAGATTCTCGACCGTGACGACGTTAAAATCTAAGGATGAACCTGCGAGAGCATCCGAGGACGACGCTCGCTTCACGAGAGCCGCGTGAGGACTGCCAACAGAAACCGAACACCGAACTCGCGCATCCTCTGGGTTTTCCGTCTCTCCTACCCTCTACGGGCGACCCTCGAACAGCCATGGACTTCTCCGTTGTGTTTTCCATGAGTGTTTTTTGTTATTATGAGGGTACATTCGAAAAGCTTCCGGTTCGAACGCCTTAAATCCATTTCCCCGAAAGAATGTATTGAGGCCATCGAATGCCGACTTCACTTTGGATAAGCAATGAAATTGAATTATTACGTTGACTGCCCTCCGTTTTGCTACAGGCAACTTTCGTATAACACGGTATTACCATAACCAGAGATGGGAAAATTCGTTATCTAAATTAAAAGTATCGAATAACGAATAAAAGATAAAAAAGTATTTCGCCATTTTTAATAGAGATCTAACTCATTTTTTGGATGTATGTATATTAGAGTGGTGTTTATTTGATCCAAAAAATTTTGTTGTGTCTTTTCATGGGATACCTTGTCGATGTGTTCACCCTTATGAGTAAGTAATATGGTATTTTTTAATATTTTTTTCAGATAAATGTTAGGTGTTGCTACCAGTTATTATGGACAGGTGAAATGCAGTTTGTCGAGTCTGTCGAAAGAAGAATTTACGAGAAACTGAACCGTGTCGATACCATCCGCGAATCTTATCTCTGAAAGCTTCTCTAGAAGCAGAAAAGCTAGGATCCGGTGTTATGATCCCCGTGGGAAAGATTCGATTCCGTACTCAATAACAGGGTGACAGATACCTGCGAAAGAATTCGATACATAACACGATATATCCCTTCAAGCTGCAAATTCTTCAATTCGAAAAATTTCATATGTTCTTCGCTGAAAAAACCTGCACGTTGTAAAATAATGTAAACGTAAGAGTGTGATTTTGCATGAGAAAATCATATAATAATAATAATATGTCTATTACTACAGTAGTTGGCTGATTAAGAAAAAGAAAAACATAAGGATAGTTGTATTAAGGATAGTTGTCATTCACATAAAAAATGACTAGAAAGTGTAAAAGGACATAAGTATTAATCAAAAAAGAATTATATCGATTAATACAAGAAATTATAAGGAACAATAGGGTAAAGAAAGAATACAAAAGGGGGTAACAAATCGTGAGAAAGACAAAAGATATAAGTACAAAGAGCATAAAAATTCATGAGACTGAATGCAGGAAACAGAAATATTAAAACGTTTATAATACTTTTCCATTTCTGTTGCTGGTAGGAATATTTTAACGGAGTTGGTACATCCTGCGTTTCAACGTAAATTCAAGGTACATTCAGTTTCAGTTCTAAATAAGTCTTCCCATCCGTTTCTACCGAGTCTGCTGAATAGGCGCGCTTCATGCCTGAACAGTCACTGGAATTCCTACTAACGCGAGTTTAA